TAATGATTCGAGCGTACCAGGCGACGGATGAGGTGAGATATATTCTCTGTCACGGTTTATTGTCTGAGTTCCGCAAGATGACCCTTGTTCCATAAGAGTAATCGGGGGGCTGTTACGCCTCGGGCTCAGCCAGCGATGCCGAAGAGTATGTAAATACATGTTTCTCGCGTATCATACTCTGACCTGTGTTAGATCGATGACTACATGATTTCATAGGAAACTCTTGAATTTTTGCAAACTCAAAGCAAAAACACGCAAAAAATCGTGTTGGAAATAAATTGTCGACACCACGAGCGACTGAAACTTTGCTAGTGTTAAGTAGTCCTGTGCGTAATACTGATTTGGAAATCATCCTTGATTGCCGGCTTTTTGTTTGATTTCGCACCGTTTCATCTGATCAAGGGTTTGAGGCGTGATGAGATTTCCATTTCTATCATGCTGATTTTGGTGATACAAGAACTGGACGGTGGCATATCTAGCACGAACGCTATCGTCATACACCACTGACATTCCCCACTCGCTCACCCATCCCTCGAACATGACTTACGTCTCAAATGATCCCAGTTGGTGGCCATTTCTCAGTTACACTATTTTTTTCAGCTATTGGACAGGTTCGTCGCATTAGGATGTCCAGATCTAACGTTGACATGCAGTTTTGCAGTTGCTGCTGGCGTCGTGGTGATATATGATTGGGGTAAGCAGAACAGTGTCCGAAAATCGCTGATATTCTCATGATATTTCCAGTCCTAACACTGAGACAAGAGGTACGTCGATGTTATCGCTGGAGCAGCCAACTCACTAACAATGGTGTCATAGATTGAACTTATCTGGGTGAGTGGCAAGAGCCCCGTATCAAAAGAAAACAAGAGCATGCAATGAATTCGCGACAGAGACAACGATGCTCTCTCATGACCGTGCTGTATTTGATTGTTCGTACTCGTGTTGTGCTTTAGCGTGGTGGGCATCTTGTGCTGACTCTCCAATGTTCCAGATACGCTATATTGGAATACCATATTCTGTGTATGTGTCAATATCAACAACTCTGCAGTGTGCTAATAGCTCATCTCTGATAACTAGTGTTTATCTTCTGGGTATGTCTTATATGCACTGTGTTCCATTTTTCTGACCAGCGGGACACAGCAACTATGCCATCGGTATCGCTGACAGATGCAGTGAGTATTCTGCAACCATCTCATTCCCATCCAATCAATACGCTCATATGTAGGGGTGAGTGGGATTCAAACCAATGAACTTGGCTCCACATAATGGCTCAATAGGTGTAAGTCGGAGACTTTGATACTAGTGCGAGGACATTCACTAATTGAGAGCTTTAGGCAATATCATGTACTACGCAACAAATGGGCCAAATGTGGCCTTGGCTGCTATGTTGGGCGGTAAGTTGCCCAGGTGCAATACCTCTGTGATATTGACCTGACTGACACACGACGCAAGTCATCATGATTGCTCGGTTGCATGCCATGTATCAGGGATCTAGAAGGATGCTTATGTTCCTTGTTATTATCTTCCTGGCTATAAACATCGCTTGCGGAGTGATCGTGGTAATAGGACTAGACAATATTGTAGGGGGTAAGCTTCACTTGTTGACTTGAAGAACGCGGCTCATTGGATAAACACCAGAGGAGCTGGTATTCTCTGGCGTGCATATGTGCAGTGTTGAACTTGAAGGGAGCGGGCAGCTTCTGCTTCCAATGGTTTGGGTGCTCAACACTGTTTGGGAGGTCCTCGCGTTGTCTCTTTCAGTCTGGATTGCTGTGAAACACTTCCGTGAGCTGCGACGACTCGGCCCATCGACAGGATCGACCATCGGGGACTGTTTCAGAGTGCTGATACAATCTCATGTTCTTTATTTTGCAAGGTGAGTTTGTAATGTGAACGCGGTTATATTTTTCTGCTGAGGTTCCGCACATGTTAGCTTTGTTGGTGTCTCTTGCTTCCAGCTTGCTATTCTCTCTCCAGAACTCTCGGTGCGCTGACCTGTTCCTGATATCTGCGTGCAACCACTGCTCATCATTTTTGTAGAATTCATATTCTATTGGAGCTGATGCACTCGATGGTGCTCGTGTAATTTTGTTGCTCGTGCAGATGTTTGTGCTGGGACCACGCCTCATCCTTAGCGTTCGAGAATACCACGCCAAACTCGTGGCATGCTCCGACGCAGAAACTAGCATGAATTCGATTGTTTTCCAGGAGCATGTACACGTATCAACTAGCAGTACTGTGTAAGGACATGCTTGCTGAGTGGCCTGCAGGGAAGCGAAATTTGGTGGAGGATCCGTCGTGGTATTTATTTAACATATGGTGTATTTGAAAGGTTTAGGCAAAGCTATTTCTTGTTGTATCGCTACTGGAATGAAGTACGCGCGCTTGAATCAGGTGGTAAGGGCAAATTATCCGGAACGTCTAGTAACCAATCTGGTCCTTTGTTGAAATACAACGAGAATCAGTAAAAATACCTTGACTGCTGATTCTGCGTGTTGGTGTTTCACTGTCCGGACATATAGATACAGCGACTTGTGAAGCCAGATAGCTAGTGACCCATTAGTGCTCAGATGCGATATCCTCCATCCGATGGGCCAAAGAGAATGAAAGGAATGAATTGCGTAAACTTATGGTTTGATTGTACGTCTTTTTTGCGAATGAGCATGACAAGGATACGGGGTCCACTGAGTGGAGAGTGGAAAATCATAAAATGTCAGCAGGCCTCAAGCGTGGCGATCAACTGCGATATTTTGTTGCAGCCCTCGCTAAGCACAACCAGCAGAGTGAAGCACCGAACGAGATACAGACATACATACACGCATACATACACCGTTGACATCGATCACAGTCCTAGGCAAGCAAATGATCACTTGGTGAATGAAGTGTCTGATAGGGTATTATCGATGGAGACACGTACGAGGTGTATCGAAGGCGAGATTGGGATGTGATCGATTATGAATATATGAATCGTGATCGAGCACTCAATAGAAGCACGATGAACGGGAGAAGCATCGGCCTAGAATGGTCAACGACACGAACGACAACAAAAGTATGTGATCGGGAATTCGATCACCGATCTTGTCAGGATTCCAAGTTTTTTCATTTATCTAGATCGAGGGAATTAGACTCACACATGTCTAGTTCAAGGCGTACCTGGGAAGCCCAATAGTACTGTTCCTCGCTGATAGCTCTTATCATGTATGCAGACACAACTCACCCATGCCTTCAAGTCCGTTGACCAGTGGCGCGGCTCTTTAGTGCATCGTGGGTCTTACAATAGACTTCATGTGCACCAATGGTGGTGTGTCGCCCATAAAGTCTTCTCCCTTCTACACACCATCTATGTGGTACAAAGCACGCAATATATAGATGAGCTGACGTACGGATGTTACAACTAGCGCGTCGATAAGATAGATCAACAACGATTGTCTGCAAAATTCAATGATATCAAGTGTGATCAGTGTTAAAAAAGAAACTGACAGCTCGAGTATATCACCAATGCGTGTGGCAAGAAAATCAGGGCTTCAAGTCAGAAGGCACCAAGCGCACCTATATTTAAAAGTATCAGTGAGACGCCAACCATGAAATTTTGGGATCTAGCAAACATACTTTGATTAGAGTAGCGTCATCCTGCAAATCTAAATCATCCGTCAGATTTATATTAGGGCCCTTGCAACGATCTGTTTCCATCCTGCCGAGTAGTACAACTGTAAGAGTAAAACAAGGAATGAGACGCATATGTGAATACAACACACCGTTGATATTACAGCAGTTTGCATAAGTAATGGCGCAGCCCTGTGCTAATCACAGTCGCCTTGGTGCGAAGGGATGGTTATTTGAAAGTATACAGCTCGCGCAGGTAGTACGTGAGCGGAGTGTCTGGATCTGAGCCAGACAGCTAATAGACTAGAAATCTACACGTGCGAAAATTAGCGTATGTCAGCTGTTTGAACACAAAGACTGAAACCAGAAGATGTGCGCACGATCTATGGAAGCTTGAATAGCTTGCGACGCAATGGGTCTGTCGCATCTGCTGTGTCATCGATCATCATCCATCTGGGCCGTTTGGGTAGGGCACGATGCGACCGTTCCATGGACCAAGGAAAGTAGAAGTAGCATGTCGAGCTCAGACAGCTGACAATCCGAGAATTCGACGTATTCGTGAAGGCCCCGACTGTCTGGGCACAAAGAACGAAACAAAACAACCAGGAACTGGCAATGATCGCAGAATCGTGTGTTGGACATGTACAACCTGTCGAAATTTTGCCAGTAGCATGTCCGTCAGTGTAAATTGTCGAATGAGATTATGATATACGTACACAAGACAATTCAGAGCGAAGCAAAAGGAAAAGTAGTACGTCTGTGATCAGGTGGTTGACGGAGAAAAAAACTCACTATGAATTGTGCGAGCACAAAGAAAGATGGGAAAGGGTGGCCTCCTGAGTGGTAGTAGAATGTGTCTGGAGGATCTGTTAACACTTTAGTTTCATATATATACTTGAGTACTATATATGCAGACCAAATACGATAGTCGTTTCTTCTAGTTTCGATGGCATAGTGCCTGTCCGTCGAGCTTCACGCGCAGGTCAATCCTTGTCTTCCATGACCGATGCGAGCGAGGTAACAAGAGAAATTGGCACAGGTGTGAGTTCCGGAACGGCCGCCATTGCTTGCAGAGGCAGCGGAGCTGTAAGCTTGCTTCATTTGTCGACTCCGCAAACGCCGAAGTCCAGTAGCGTAAGCACTTCATCCTATTACAGCAGTTGGCTTGGTTCATTTTTTGACTCCGCAAATTACACGCCGAAGGGAGCGCCGCGCCGCGCCGCGAGCTTTGATTAGATTTAGACTCAACCTTCATATGTTGCAACGCCCGCCTCTTGTGTCTTTTATGTTTGGTGTGCGAATGCAAACACTTGACGGTATTATTCATTCATTGTGAGCCTTGAGCTTGATTCGTCGCCGTGCTTTGGTGTCGCCACTGGTAAGTATATCATAGATTCATGTATCCAACACTCGATGTCACTGATTTGCGCCAACACAGGATGGACCTACACTGGAATTCCGGAGCCAAGACAACTACTGCAACAGTCGAGCTTCTCGAACGACAGAATATCAACATCAAAACACATGGGAACCATCTGACAATATCTGTGCATTTGAAGCGCTCGGAGAACCAAACAAAGGGCGGATATACGGTGCAGCAACATTTTCATGGCAAGTCTTCTAGGTTATGGCGATTGCATCATCCAGGCTGAGGCTTTCCATGCGATGATGGAAAATGGAATAGTTACCGTGCGCTTCAGTAAACATCGCCTGCAGAGTGATCTCGGCAATAGACCTCAAGTATACCATAGCGGGTAAGCTTTACCTGTTGACTTGAAGAACGCGGCTCATTGGATAATTACCAGAGGAGCAGATACTCTCTGGCATTTATATTTGCGGTTATGGATATGCAGGCAACGAGCAGCTTCTGTTCTCAATGGTTTGGATGCTCAACACTGTTTGGGAGGCCCTCGCACTGTGTCTCTCAGTTTGGATTGCTGTGAAACACTTCCGTGAGCTGCGACGACTCGGCCCATCGGCAGGATCGACTATCGGGGACTGTTTCACAGTGCTGATACAATCTCATGTTCTTTATTTTGCAAGGTGAGCTTGTAATGTGAATGAGATTGTATTTTTCTGCTCAAGTTCCGCACATGTTAGCTTTGTTAGTGTCTCTTGCCTCCAGCTTACCGAACTCTCTCCAGAAATCGCGGTGCGTTGACCTGTTACTGATCTCTACGTGCAACCACCTCTCACCATTTCTGTTAGAATTCGATATCTATTGGAATTTGGACACTCCAAGGTGCTGTTCAAATTTTAGCGGTCGTGCAGATGTTTGTGCTGGGACCATGCCTTATTCTTAGCGTTCGAGAATACAATGCCAAACTCGTGGCATATTCCAACGCAGAAACTAGTATGAATTCGATTGTGTTCCAGGAGCGCATACATGTATCCACTAGCAGTACTGTATAGGGAAATGCTTGCCGAGTGGCCTGCAGGGAGGAGAAATTTGGTGGAGGATCCGTCGTGGTATTTATTTAACATATGGTGCTTCGAAGTATATTTGAAAGGTCTAGGCAAAGCTGTTTCTTGTTATATCATTACTAGAGCGAAGTACCCGTGCTTGAACCAAGTGGTGAGCTGAAGTTATTTGGAACGACTAGCAACCAAACTGGTCCTTGATAGCCAACGTTAAAATACAACGAGAATCAGTGAAAGTGCCTTGACAACTGATTCTGATTTTGCGCATTGGTGTTCCACTGCCTGGACATATAGATACTGCGAGTTGTGAAGCCAGATGGCTGATAACTCATCAGTGCTCAAATGCAGATTTTTCCATGCGACGGGCTATGGAGAATGAAATGAATGAATCGTGTAGACTCGAGGCTTGACTGCACGTCTCTCGCGAATGAGCATGACAAGGATATGAGGTCTGCTGATTGATGAGTGGAGAATGAGAAAATCGAAGGTTCAGGTTAGAAGACCTCAAGCATAATTTACACAACGCACGCAGGATGAGAATAAAGTTCCGGATAGCGGCTATTCCTGCAAGTACTGTCGATGGAGACGCGAGGTGCATCGACGGCGGTATTAGGATACGTGTTCGATTATGGACAACCGGCGTGATGTCGATGAAACCGCTCACTAGATAGAAGCACAACCTAAAATAGATGCTGCGCTAGATAAGGCATGGCATACGACTTGAACACGAACGAAAACCAATATCGGGAATTAGATCGCCGATTTTGTTATTCCGTGGTTTATTTATCTAGATCGATCGAATAACATACATATTTGATTCAAGGCGTACATTCGTAATTCAAAACAGTCTGCAGTCACTGATCTGGAAGAATCCTATCAAAAAAAAGGCAGTAATGACTTGTACATAGGTATAGATGACCGAAAATATTGAGGTATGCAAGCCGGACAGATATAAAGTACATCGATAATCGCATCAAGTTCTGCCATTTTAAGATTCGCCTGTCTCCTTCAGTGCCTCCCTACCTGCATTTCGAAAGGCTACAAGGGCATCCCATGCACGTCCAGAACGTTACGCTGTTCATCGCTAGCGCAGCCCCTTCTTTGAAGTCCGAAGCCAAACCTGCAACAACCAGAAGCGCCGACGCGTTCAGCAATACAAAGTGCAAAACGGGTATCAGCGACTCCGGTATATCATTACCCGAGTTGAGCAGTTCTTTAAATGTTCCTGCATTCTCTGTCGGTGTTCCGCCAGCAACGGATGAGATTGGATGGACACTCAGTCCGAAAAGGTCTGGGTGCAATCTGATTTCCGTAATCTTACCATCTTCTAATTGCCACGCGTACGTGTCGCCGGCACAGCTAACCTCATCAAGTCCTTCGGCTCCGCATACCACGAGGGCACGCTCAACGCCATTGTCACGGAGGGACTGAGCGACTGTGGGACCGAGTTCACGCTCAGCTACGCCCAAAACCATTCCTCGTGGACGTGCAGGATTTATGAGGGGTCCAAGGACATTGAAGAGCGTTCTGAAGGGTAAGGACTTGCGGTATGGTGCAATCATAGCGAGTGCAGGATGGTATTGAGGCGCGAGGATGAAGGTGAATGGCACCTTAGATATAGGAAAGGGAGTGCCTGGTGAAGGGGCAATAAATGAACAGTCAAGGGATTGCAAAAGATCTGCTGATCCAGATGAGGACGTAGCAGCCCTGTTTCCATGCTTATTGTTGTACTCGTCAGATAAATTACTGCAGCAGATGTAAAGTAGTCTTACCTTGATCACTCGAGCGCCTGCGCCTGCGGCAACGACGGCTGCTGTGGTACTAACGTTGAACGTGTTATGACCATCACCTCCAGTTCCAACGATATCGACAAAAAAATCCGTGTCTCCATCTTGGATGTCTACTTGTAATGCCCGCGCCCTTAGGACTTCAGTAGCCGCAGCGAGGGCTTCTGGGCGTCTTTCCACTCTTTCCATGTGGAGGGCAGTGAGGAATGCACCTATTTGTGCGGGAAGGGTGGCATCTGGGGTAAAAAGGTGATGAAGTGCGAGTTTAAGGTCTTCCGGAGTGAAATACTCAGGAGTCTTGACGAGCTTTCCTAGTAGGAGTTTGAAGGAATCGGGAGTATATTCTGTCATATGGTAACACTGTAGAAGGGTAAGGCTGGAAGACAAGTCAGCGTCGTAACAGTAGAACCGCTGAGGTATGAATCGTGTGAAGTTATGGATTATATGGTATGGTATCGAGTCCGAGACGAAAAGGAAAGCTATCAGTACGATGACGATATCGTGTGGAGCGATGATAACGTTGAATTCAACACACCCTCTCCGCTAGATAAGGCCCCATGATACATGGATGATGATACGAATCCTGGAAGACGCACATTAGACGCACGAAAACCAATGTCGGGAATTAATGAGATCGCCGATTTTGTTGTTCCGTTTTTTATTTGTCTAGATCGATCGATGTCGGAAATCTCCAGGGGAGCCTTGCAAGTATTCCTTATTGGGACATTAATAACCAGATCCTGACATGGACTCAACTGTTGACGCCATCGTCATTGATATCGATCACTGTCGACCTGAGTAACATGTCAGTTCAGACGGCTGGTCATGCAACAATCCGGCTCATCCATCTGTACCAGTCAGCGAATGGAGAACAAGGGAAAATTTCTGTTTTGGGAAGAAAATAAAGATTCACAGAAGCCCATATGGCAATGATTCTTCATCGAGATCACAATTTCCCCATCGTTCATCTGGGCTATCCGTATAGATGGACTACGGGAAAAAAGTGGGTCGCAGGGAGTCAGAGCATATCCTAGACGACCAGCCCATAGAAATGCTTACCTCGAGCGATAAAATATATGACAGATGATCTGATCGTTCTTGGGTGGGGTCGGGGCAAGTGTAGGTCTAGACGTGGACCAATGATTAAGCGAATCTTGCAACAGGGAAGGGGAGGAATGTTCAAGACTAGGGAACGTATGGACGATAAATGCGAAGGCCAGCACCACAAGCACCTCTTTGTGCCTATTATTCAAGATAAGTTTGTGCGCAGGGAGGCTGAAAGAATCATTATCGTGTCGACTCCCCGTGAAAAAGGCAGAGAATGAACGTACATACGTGGCTCTAATTCCGATGATGCTGAGAGGAGGCCCAAGTACGAGATAAGGTTGACGAAAGATTAAGGACCAAGAGTGTAAGTACTTACTATATTTTGAAGGTGTAACGGTGCTACGCTCGAGGATAGCGGACGCATGCACTGAGATATCGACGGCTAGGCTAGCATGTGTCACTGAGAGTAGTGGAACACGGTAAAGCACTTACAGCTGGTCCAAACCAGACACCCTAAATAAGCCGTCTCCAACACACCTTGCTATTCTTTTGGGGTGCAAACTCCATATTGGAACGTGCAACTAGTGTGGGTGCACATGGGCAGGCATCGTCAGATCGGAACTCTGTAGAGAAGATATCTAGAAACGAAATTGAGTTGTGGCATATAGTCTAAGCTACGCCAATGAGCTAAGAGATGAGTTATATCATGAGACGGCGGAAATATTCAGAATGAAGACGAGGTGAAGGGTTGGATGAATCAGAGAAAATGGACATAGCGTTATGTATCCGTGAGGGGGTGGCCAATCAAGTGGGTTGGAGTATCATCAGTGAATCGGTGAACAGATGACAAAGCTATTTAAAGCAATATATTTTGGAGCATCACAACATTCTACGTAAATTTGCTGACCGCTCTCACATGTAAATGTTTGGCAATGTCGAGAAAAGACCGATTTAAAGGCACACCAGCGAAGTAGCATTATTTGCTGAGTAGGCGTTTCCACTAAGATGGATCTAAGAAAAAACGAATCGGTGCATGTTCATGAAGTTGAATACAGACCGAGGTTACAAGGGAACAAGAAGGAGATTGTGATGTATGAAGGTGAAAGATATGCTGGTGATGTCCATAGTAATGCAGATACATAGCGTTCGGTCCCCAAGTATTATTTTGTCACTAGCTAAGAATGACCATGACCTGCATGTGACTTGTCCGAGGGTTCAAAGTGTAAGCTTATGTTGCAACAGGATAGTGGCAGTAGAGTCGTGCGTATTGCATTTCTATTTGCCAGCCGTCACTCGCAACAATACATTACATGAGGAGCAAATTGTATTACAAAATATATCACAGTAAATTTTATCTCTTGATGGACACCGAGATGCACATCAGTAAATTGGTGAACAGATAAGAATGGTATCAAATGTCAGCATGCAGCTGAAGACTCACAACTTGGTGCCGGACTCAAAACACTTCAAGAGAAATCTTCTTCTGGCGAAGCCTTCGGGAACTAACGTCACGGCACGTAATCGTCAAATGACCTTTATGGAGTAAGTCGGTGCATTCTGGTCAGCATTGGCAAATGTGAATAATATTCCGAAGGCTGATCAACTGACATCGTATATTCAACCAATTGGGGGGACTCCAATCATTCATGAACTTGATCCTGACTAACATCACGGCACGTAATCGTCATGACCTTTATGGAGCAAGTCGGTGCATTCTGGTCAGCATTGGCAAATGTGAATAATATTCCGAAGTTGATCAACTGACATTGTATATTCAACCAATTGGGGGGACTCCGATCATCCATGAACTGGATCCTGACAACAGGATCCTTAGTGTTTGAGGAGACGAAAAGGTATGTTTAGTGATACGAACGACAAAACAACTTATATCCCATTTAAATGTTGACCAATTTAACTGCAGTGGGCTATGGGCCGGCACAGTATCTCACTTACCATTCAACAAGCAATAATGCGAAGCCCACCAAAGCATAGCCGAATTCCCTAGATTCAGCTTATCAAACACTAGCGGGTGAATCCACCAACTGCAAGCTAAATTGTGCTATGAGTATGGAAACCAGAAATGATGCTAACGGCACGAAAGTCGGATAACGCAGAAACTTGCTATGAATATCAGAAAATTCAGAGGTTGTCGCAGCCTTGCTGTATCTCTTGGATCCATCTGGTCAAGCTTCATCAGTGCTATTAGTGCGAACACTAAATAAGGCAGGGCCTACCATGGCGTAACTGTATTTCCTGAGTTTAGCCGGACAGGCACAAGCGGGCGAATCCACCAACTGCAGGCTGAATTGTGCTATGAGCGTGAAAACTAAAAAATGATGCCAATGGCACGAAGTTCAGATAGCGCGGAACCCACCATAGCGTGACTGTATTTCCTGAATTCAGCCTGACAGACACAAGCGGGTGAATCCACCAACTGCAGGCTGAATTGTGCTATGAGCGTGAAAACTAAAAAATGATGCCAATGGCACGAAGTTCAGATAACGCGGAACCCACCATAGCGTGACTGTATTTCCTGAATTCAGCCTGACAGACACAAGCGGGTGAATCCACCAACTGCAGGCTGAATTGTGTCATGAGCGTGAAGACTAGAAAATGTCGCTAAGGGCACGAACATCAGATAACGCAGAACCCACCATGAATATCGGAAAATACAGAGGTTGCTATGGCCTTGCTGTATCTCTTGGATTCATCCTGTCAAGCTTCATCAGTCCTATGGGCACGAACACTAGAAAATGCAAGGTCCCTGGTGGATATTAGAAGATGTGTTAAAGTAAACGTTATTTATCGGTGGATCAAGTCTATATCGCTGACGAACTTGTCCACTAATCCGATCATTACATTCCAATGCAACGTTCAAGGATATAAATTCAAACTGTGCTAGGGACAATGATTGCAGATGTGCAGGAACAAGTCTATTTCACTTGATTAATACTACTATTTAACAAAGAGTCGTGTCGCAATTAAAGGAAAGTGGACACGAGCTCAAGCAACCTAGTCGGAGTCAAATACAGCATCCTCCTTCTCCTGCCTCTGAGTAGCAAGAGCACTGACAGACATTCGCGAAACAACATCTGGCGTCAAATCCTGTCGGTGATTCTTCCCGAAAACCTTTCTGCACAGGGCCCGAGTTAGCAGCAGTCCAACCGAGCTAGTCATTACCCACCTGGTCCACCACTCAAGAAGTTCGTTCACCCTTCCTCGTGCAGCCGGACCCGGGGCATTCTCAAAAAAGTCTACAATATTGCTCCAGTATATCTGATAATCAAAATCCCCATCCACGGTGCGCCAGGAGGTAATGTTAGAAAGAGCAAACCGAATCTTCAAATGAAGTGTCAACTTCGTACTAGTCAGAGGGAAGCATCAATGTTCACCTGGCAAGCTGTATACGCGATCGCGCGAGGAGTTACCTTCCGCATGCCTATAATCGAGGCGACACATGTCTTGACTTTCGTTTGATCTGATTGCCTCTGGGCGCGTCGGTGGTTCTCAATGATATCGGCGCCGTCGCCTTCGCCATTGACTTCATTGGCAGATGAGGGAGAAGTGAAGATCGCTTTAAATGCCTGCAATGCGATGTGTGATGAATTAGTTGGAAGTCATGCCACTCACCATAATTAACAG